TCTCTTCCTATCTTCCTCCCTCTCTCTTCCTATCTTCCTTCCTCCCTTTCTCTCCCTATCTTCCTCTCTCTCTTCCTCCCTCCCACTCTCTTTCACCATCTCTTCCTATCTTTCTCCCTTCCTCTCTCTCTTCCTATCTTCCTTCCTCCCTCTCTCTCCCTATCTTCCTCTCTCTCTTCCTCCCTCCCTCTCTCCCACTCTCTTTCACCATCTCTTCCTATCTTCCTCCCTTCCTCTCTCTCTTCCTCCCTCTCTCTCTCTCTTCCTATCTTCCTCCCTCTCTCTTCCTATCTTCCAGCCCTCTCTCTCTCACACACACACACACACACACACACCCTGGGGTTTGTACAATGAATGGATCTGTAACATCTGGGTCAGCATGTCCAGAACACCCACCAAAGCTTTTAATCCACTGCATTCCCCCCACCAACCCCCGTGTTTCTCAAAGTCAGCCATTTGAAAAGGGGTGAACTTCAACTCCCAGAATTCCCTAGACAGCCTGGTTTAAGATGCGAGGACATCAACGCCCAGAATTCCCATACAAGAGAGGACTTGGCCCCCAGCCCCGGGTCGTCGTTGCGCCGTCTGATTGCTTTCGATGGGTCGAAGAGCAAAATAAGATTGCTCTCTTACAATCCCTCTCTCTCCAATCTCTCCGCTCTGTTTTTAACTTCTGCCTGACCAGCGGTGGTAATTCAGCCGGTTCGCACCGGATCGGACGAACCGGTAGCGAGAATTTGGCGCGGGTTGCCAAACAGGTAGTAAGTTCTGGCTGGCCACGCCCCCCCCCGACCCAGTCGCCCTCCCACCCGATGCTCGCTCACCCTGCCCCACCTGACGCTCGCCTAAGGTATTTATTTCTTTTTTTTCCCCCCTCCTGACAATCAGCTGTACAACATTCAGCCGGTTCGCACCGGATTGGACGACCTGGTAGCGAGAATGTGCCAGGATTCCCTCGGCTGAACTCAGGAAGGCCAAAAATGGCTCAGCCACCCCTCTCCATTTTTTACTTTCCCGAGCATCAGGGGAGCAAAAAAGCCCCCCCCCCCCCCCCCCCCCCCCCCCCCCCCCCAAAAACCGGGGCTGCAAAAAAGCCAAAAAAAAGCCACGCCCACCCAGTCGCATGGCCACGCCCACCAAACCACGCCCACACAACGGGTAGTAAAAAAAAAGTTATGAATCCCACCCCTGCGCCTGACCCTTTCCTGTGACCGGTGTGGTGGCATTGACCTCCTCACCAATCTTGACGGGGAAGCCGGGCGGCAGGCGGAGCGTGATGAAATCCCGGAGTTTGGCAAAGAGGGCGTTGCTGACCGCCATGAGGTCGATGATGGGGGCCACCTGCTCGGCCAGGGACAAGGGGTGGTCTTCGCACAACCACAACTTGGCTTTGAACCTGGGGGGAGGAGGAAGGGGAGGAGGAGGAGGAGAAGGTGAGGAAGGCCCAACCCTTGCTCGTCCCGCCCTACCCCCCCCCCCAAAAAAAACCCCAGCCCCAACCATTGCCCCGGCCCCGCTCTCACTTTTGCGTCTTGGTGGTGAGTTCGATGGGTCGCCCCATATCCCGGCTGCCCAGCTCAAAATTGGGGTTGAAGTATTCCTCGGGCGTGATGGCGGTGGGGTTCGCGTGGCTCAGCGTCTGCGTGATGAGAGCCTGCAGAGGGGCGGAGAGAAGATGGGGAGGGTGACGTGGAGGAGGGGGTGTGTGTCCCACCACAGGGGAAGCGCCTTCGAGTTTCGCTGGGGAAACTGAGGCCAGGTGGCCGCTTTTCCAAGAATCAAAGGATTAGAATTAAAAAGCTTAGAATAAAAATAGAAGTAAGAATAGGAACAGGAATAGAATTAGAAATAGAATTAGAATAGAATCTATATATATATATATATATATATAAAAGCGAAATACCATTCATGCATCATCACAAAATTGTATTGTATTGTATTGTGTGTGTGTGTGTATATAGATATATAGATATATAAAAGCGAAATACCACTCACACATCATCACAAAATTGTATTGTATTGTGTGTGTGTGTGTACAGATATATAGATATATAAAAGCGAAATACCACTCACACATCATCACAAAATTTTATTGTATTGTGCGTGTGTGTGTGTGTGTATACATATACATACACACACACACATACACACACAAATATACCTATAAAAGCGAAATTACCACTCACGCATCATCACAAAATCTCCAGAACCGTAAGGCCTACAAACTTGAAGTTTGGCATGTATGTTCCTCTTGTCTTCTAGGGGCTCCCTAAGAAAGGATTTTTCCAAATGACCCTCAGAGCATTTAGAGTATTTCCTATATTATTATTATTATTA